TTATTTTTAGTATTATACTTTTGAGTATTCTAATTATTAATTTTTTTGCTATAATTTATTGTAGTTTAAACCAATTGTTTTATCTCTATTTCATTATTTGCAAGTAATTTTTTATTTCACAAATGGTAAATATCATCGTGTTTTCTTGAAAAAAAAATTGCTTTCGATTCTTAAATTTGAAAACATTATTAACTAGTACGTGACTCGGACTAATGGTAATATGACATTGTTCTTTTTTTTTTTTTTTTTTTATCTTATTATTATCCAATAGATATACAACACACTTGCTCAACTCTAACACAAGTAACTTCTTATTCCAAATTTAGTTACCCAAGAAAAAAAATGTTATATGAAAATTTTCAGAGTCGTTTGATGGTTCGGAGAAAGGTCAATCTTCTACCAAAATATCAATAATCATCATATATTATTAATAAATTTATTTTTCTTTATAATATATATTTTTTCTCTTAAAACATCACTTATTTTGTGAAAATTGATTAAAAGTCCAACTAGATATTTTTTTCAAGTTATTAAATCGATGAAAGATATTTTTAAGGCATTTAGGATAGGTTAGGTATTTTTTTTTTAATTGACGAGCATACTTTTTAGTGACTACCATCGATATTCTTTTTGAGAAAAATTAAAGAGTGTGTGAGATCACAGCATGGGGAAGTTGAAACTATTAAAGCCTTGCAATGAAGGAAATTGTGGTGTTTATGTGAGTGTGTGTAGGAAGCACAAAGAAAATGTGTAAATAGGAGAGTTAATAGAGAAGACTTGGAGTATTAGGCTTAGATCTGCCAAACCACCTGAGAAATGCAGGTTGATGTTTGTGACTTTTGAGAGAGAGAGAGAGAGAGAGGGGGGGCGGGAGGTGGGGACCTGGGATTCAAAATTCCAGTAAATGAAAGTTAATAACCTAATCCTAACCCTAATCCTAATTCTAATTCTTGGTTTCCCTACTTAATTTTCAAGAGGAGATTTTTCATTTGAGTAAATGCATAGAAAATATTAAGCATTAATATCACATGGTGAAACTACCGATTTGAAATTCTTCCATATAAATTAACTAGTTATTACTCGCGCCTGAAAGTACAGAATAATAAAAAACGATCAACAGTAAAAACATTTGTGTTCACACCTAAAATAAAATCAAAAACATAAAGGAGAAAGAAATATATTTAAGCACTGGTTGCAGTAGAGGTGAGTAGTGGTAGTAATGGTAGGAGGCGGTGATGATTGTAGTGGGTAGCGACAACTGTGGTGGTGGTGGTTGCGGTGATGGTGGTGGTAGGTTTTGGGTGATGATGGTAGTAATGACAGTCATGAATGACATTGGTGGTGGTGGTCCGTGTGGGTGTGGGTGGTGGTGGACGACGATGAGGGTGGTTTGCAATAGTGGTGGTGGGGCGATGATAGTGGTGGTGATGGTGGGCGGTGACGATGGTGGTAGTAGACGAGGACGGTGCTTCTAAGTAACAATGTGATGGGTGGTGGAGAATGACGGTGGTGGTAGTTGGTGATGGTAAGTGTGGTGGGAGTGGGTGATATTGGCTAGCAACGACGAGTGGTGGTTTGTGGTAATGAGTGGCTGTGGGCAACAATGGTTGTGATAAGTGCTAATAGTGGGCGAAGGTGGCAGTGGGATGATGGTGGTAGTGATAAATATAAGAATGAGATGACAATTGTGGTGGGTGGTGGGGTCGACGATGGTGGTAGTGTTGGTGGTGGGTAGTGATGGTGGTGTTGATGAGGGGTGGGGGTGGGGCAATGATGGTAGGGGTGACGACAACGGTGGTGATGGAGGCAATAATGGTAGTGGTGAGGTGGTGGCGGTGTCGAAGGTGGTGATAGTGGTGATGGCCGTGGGGATGGTGATGGTGGGACAGTGGCGGTGGTGGTAGGGTGGCATAAGCGATAGTAATGGTGGTAGGGTGTCGGTGGTGGTGATGGTAGTTGATGGGCCAAGTCCAAAGGTCCAATTCATGTTATAAGCCTGGTCCGAGTTTTAAGGCTCAACTCCAAGAGGTTCACCAAGTTCAGTCCAATGTGATCGTTCTAGTCAAACTCATCAAGCTTAAGGAGTTACATCAATAAGGAGCATGCAAGGTCATTTGGGAGTCTCCTCTACAACACCAAGGGAGCGTCCAGGAGCCTTACCCCCGTCGCTTGGAGAGCATCATAAACTTCTTTGTCGTTGAGGAGAGCAGAGTCGCCAAGCCATTTAATCATTATTAAAGTCACATCAATCTATTATGACTATTAAACGACCCAATTTCGTTATGACCGTTCTATTAGTTATGCAATTATTACACTAAGTCATTATAAATTGTAAGTCCCACCAATACTTGAGGGACATCAGACTCATTTTGAGCATTATTCTCTCCTCCCCTCTCAAAGCTTGTAATCTTGTACCCACCCTCCACACCGAAGATAATAAAATTCCGGCGACCTTATTATTGAAAGTGGACGTAGGTCATATTGATCAAACCACTGTAAACTTTGTTTTCTCTCTTTCTACTTTACTGCATTTTATACTACTTAATTGACAGATGGTATACAAACCAATTTAGTGTATCATCATTTTGGCGTCGTCTGTGAAAAACTGCAAAATTCTCACCTAACCATTTTATTTGCTCAATCAAAGTCAATCACCACAAGAACCATGACTCAGCACGAAGACAACCTACGAGAGAAGGAGGTTGCTCCTTTACCCGTCAATCCCATCCCAAATATTTGTGAATGTCAAATATACTCACACATAAATACTAATCAAACTATTTATAGAGAGGTCTTTTTTATTTGTGAATTTCAAATATACTCACACATAAATACTAATCAGTACAATCTCATAGGTTTGAAAACAACCGGAATTTAAGCATCATTCGCATGAAATCCGACCACTAAGATATCACACAAAATAGGGTGTTTGAAATTCAAACAAAAAATTGCCCTAAAATCCATGAGATTTCAACCAAATCAAAAACACAAACAACTGAAAATTGTGAGAACCAAAAAATCTTTCATCTAAGTATTAATTGTACATACGTTGGAGCAGTATTGAAGTCCGACTGTCGACTTTGTCACCTGTAATCGTCGACAATAAAAAAATGTGACATGGTAGTGTTAAATTACAATGTAACAACACAATAAACACTTTTAAATGTGCAATTACTTTTCTTGATTCCTACACAAATTAAATGATATGCTTGACACAGTGTGATATCACATAGTGTTTTTTAAGAACATGACGATGTTACATATAATGTAATACTAGACATTGAAATAAAAGAAGAAGATATATGTTTAAAATTCTAATATTCTGATCTATTAAAATCGGAAACCATTGATATAATAAAACAAATCCCATGAAAAATGGAACTGTCTAACTAAATAGTCCATAAATTATAAAAAATGGTATTTCTATTAAAATAGAAAAACGTTGATATAATAAAACAAATCCCACGAAAAAAGGAACTGCCAAACTAAACAGTTCATCAATATGAAAAATATTATTTTAGTAAAAAAATAATAATAATAAATTGTCATTGTGCATCTAGATACAATACATTTCCAACTAATAATACTTATCTACAATTTATTTTCAGCAAGGTAGTTCTCCACAAATAAATAGTTTATGTGGTACCTATCCACAATTTTCCGTTTTTTCTATTTTCAATGTTAAACACGTTACTGTCTCTTATTCTCAACCCAGCCCAATTCCAAAACCCAAGTTAAAATAAAAACATGGGCCTGTAGGCCCATGCAATCTCATAGACCCAAACCCAACCTATCCCCCTCCAACCCTCCATATAAATACTCACTATCATCACAATCGCACCTAGGTTTTAGCTTCCTTCTCCGCTGGCATTTCCGTGAGTTCATCAAACCGTCTCTCTACTCCGTTGAAAATGGTGAAGGGTCGTCAAGGCGAGCGTATCAGGTCTCAGATCATCTGAAAACCCTAGCTCTCTGTATGTAATACAGTCATATGTATATAGATATTCTCTAACCTTCTTCTAATTTGTTTGTTTATTTTCAGACTCTACGTCAGGGGAACTATTCTCGGTTACAAGAGGTGACTATGGAAAATCATGATATATGATTTGTTTGTTTGTTTGCTTGAATGCTGAGAATTTGTACTGTTTGTGGATAGGTCGAAGTCGAACCAGTATCCAAACACCTCTTTGATTCAGATCGAAGGTGTTAACACAAAGGAGGAGGTAGCATGGTACCAGGGAAAGCGTATGGCGTACATCTACAAGGCCAAGGTCAAGAAGGATGGTTCACACTATCGCTGCATTTGGGGAAAGGTCATTAGGCCTCATGGTAACAGTGGTGTCGTGAGAGCTAAGTTCAAGTCCAATCTGCCCCCCAAATCCATGGTATATTTTAACGGTTTGGTTTGTACAGTAGCACTATGATGTATGCCTTTGATTGAGATGATTTACGTATGTGGATAGGTTAGGAAGTTTTGAGTTTTGATTTCCATTTTTTTTGTTTGCAGGGAGCTAGGGTTAGGGTGTTCATGTACCCAAGCAACATCTGAGGTACTTTCACTGTCTTTGAATGCTTCAAACTATGCTTCTAAGAATTTGGGTTTGAATGTAGGGCTTTCCTATATAATGATTTTTGGGTGTTAAATGTTATGATATGATGTATATAATGTATCTCTCTTCTTGTTGATTGTTCTCAAAAGAATTTATTGTATATAATGCCCATTGCCTGGAGTGTGACTTCACTGATCAGAACTTAACACCTGTGTTTTTTGCTGGTCGAATATGATTCTTTGCACATTCAAACAGTTTTATAGCTAAGAGATGACATCCTTAATTTGAAAGATAAATATGATTTTCTTATGAGGCACAACAATTTGAACTACCTCTGCTAGAACATGTCCTAGTCTAGTAGCTAAAGATGTGAAAACCTGTTTTTTACACTATTTTGGAGAATGATGGACTTGGAGTGATTTTAGATAACTACGCTCCTGAGTAGTAAGCCCATCCATAGATGAGTGCTCTCCCATTCCAATTTAGCATGGATTATTTGCCTTGCGTAGTTGGATCTAGATGAAATATATGTTTGTGCACATATTTTTTCACAATTGCCAATAACAACAAAAATGGGTCTATATCACTTTACATGGCATCTACAATTTAATAACACAATGTACATGAGCCTGCCTTGAGTATTATTTCTCTAGATGCCATATTTCATGTGTCATGTGTATCTGAGTTTTATCTGTTACTTAGCGCACCGTGTCTTCTTTATGTGTTTTGAGTTGGTTTCTGATTTTTATGTTTTCTTCCCATGCAGTGACCTCAGAAAGTAGAAGACAGATTGAAGTCAATGGTGACTTGATATGATTTTAAGGCCTGAACAAAGCTATTAGTGGTTGCTGGGACTTTATTTTACTTGTTAGTTTTTATACAATTGAAGTGTTTTGTATTTTCTGGATCTACTCTATCCTTTTGTTTTGGTAGCAATTTTGTTATTTAGTACCAATGAGAACGTTTTATTTGAAGGGGACTAGTTTTAATTATCTGTATTTGTGCACCCAGTTCTCACTTTGTGGTTGAATTGAACATGATCTTTGAGTACATTTTCTGCATTTTGCATTTTAGGATAATTAGTACATTGATTCAGTTTTGTGAATTATTTGCATGATGACTTCAGGTAGGGTTGCCATGTTAGTGTTGAAGATTGTAGTATAAGTAGTCTTGAAGGTAGGTGTTTTTTAGCTGTTGCTATTTTGCTAGTAGTTTTGTTGTAAAATTCTTCCTTCAGCCATGGTAGGAGAATTGAAATTATTAACCTGAGAAGTGTCTGTATTTGGTTGTGTTTTTAACATTCCCCATGTGTAATTTCGAAGATTGTAATCAGTGAGCCATGAAATTGAGCATGGCATACAGCAGTGTATGTCATATGGGGAGAGGGAGAGAGAGAGAGAGAGAGAGAAGTGGGGGAGAAGCGATGACCTTAAGAAGTAGGGGTGTCAAATGTGTGTTGTCTTTGTGTGACTTGCATGTGGTGTTCGTGTCAAGATTCATGAAAATAAATTTAGTGTGTTTTGAGTATTGAACATTAGTTTAAATTATTTATTATATGTATTTAATAATCGTGTTAATTTTATAATCGTTTGTGGTGGATTTGTATTGGATTTGTGTCAACGGGTAGAGTTGATACCCATATTTAGAAGTACTTTTGAGGATGTGATGACCATTGTTAAGGAAATATGGTTAGTATTTGAATAAAATTGAACTGAAGTGAAGGACACGAGAAAACAATTTCAGATCTGTCTTCAAAGAGAATATGCACCTCCAGATGATAATTTGAGCCGGAGATTTGAGTATGGGTAAGCACGAAGGCGGAAAGAACTCAGACGTTGGCCCAAAAGATGTTAAATAAGTGAATTTCATTAACCTGCAGTAAGCAATTCCAGCAGATCAGCAAAACATCACAGCATATAATAAATAAAGAAAAGGATTTATTATTTGTATAACTCGATCAAATTGTTAATTACAATCAAAATTTTCAATGAAGAATGCCTGCCTGCCTGCCTGCCTTGTATGGTGCATGTGAAGCAGCATACTCATTATGTTCCCATGACAATTTATTTTCAAAATTTGGACGAAAATTTTCAACTAAATGATTAGATACAATTGGCAAGCGTGAACGGCACCAAAGTAAGAATTTGCTTTGGTAAGTGGACCAAAGCTAGATATTTTTTTGGTAAATAAAATTGAATTTTAATTGATAGGAATGAAGCTTTACATCCAAGTGGAAAACACCCTTTTTAGTATAAAGTGAATTAGTCTTGGTCAAACTCAATTCTCATTTACTTATGAGCTAAGTCAAATATATGTTTGACTAAATTATTTATCAAATTTTATATTCTAAATCAATGCGTGTGGTTGGATCGGTGGGCAGCACAGCACAGTTTTATCCATTTGTTAAGATAGAGGTGAATTTTGGTGTCCACCAATAGAATAACTATAATATATCTATATATTGCTTATAATAACCACCCATAATCTCATCTTTCATCATACTTCATTAATTATTTTTTAAAAAATATCATTATAACACTTTGTTTAATTAATTATAATATTCAAATGTTGTCTATAATAACCACTTAACTCTTTTGTTTAATTATAATTAATCATTTAAATTTATTTATTCCATTCTTCTTCGAATTTTATATCTTTCTCTTTCTATCTATTTGCATATGAATAGAGTCCATGCCCGGCCCCAACCTAATAAAATAGAATTGATTAATACCCATTAAAAAGAGAAAAGGCAAGGGACAAAAAAAGAAAAAAAAAAAAAAAGCAAAGTGGGAAAAGAAAAAATAAAGAAAAAGATTCCAACTTTTTCATGAATTGATCAGTAGTCTTCTTTCTTGGTCTTCATCCTAGTACTAAACAACCCCCCCCCCCCCCCCCCCCCCACCCCCACCCCCTTCAAAAAATATTCAATGTAATATTCCCACCAATGTCTCCTAGCATGATTTGTTGACTATAGAATATTATGTGAATTTAGTCGATTTTATTATTTTAATAATTATCAATAATCACTTAATCTAATACTTCTTCACCCATCCCGAATAAATATTGGGGATATAGCTGATACTATGTTATTATTATCATATGGTGTGATCGTTTAATAATAAATTTACAAGTGAATAAAATAAATCATATTTTTTATATATATAATGATTATTTTTTTTATGGATATTCAATTATTAAATTAAATGTTTTGCAAAACGGCACTCACGCCAAAGTCCCACGTCTAGTAGTAAGATTTACTTCTCGACTGTTGAAATGTAGGATTGATATTACTATCTTTGTAATTACCTTTGAAATTCTTTCCTATTCTAGAGACAATGTAGCTGTGCAGTAGGTGTGGACATATTCATTATACGTGTAGCTTAATTCTAGAAACAATAGCTTGATTATAACAACAATAGCTTGATTATAGGATCTATACCTTTGACCCTTCTATGTACTATACGAATTCATTGATACATGAGAAAGTCTATGGTACAGAATAGTGGTTTTTCAGTATCGTACCACCTGGTTTGTGGTGGGCCATGGTGAATAAAAAAACAGCGGCTGAAAAACGATTGTAAATCCATTTTAAGATGTTGTAACGGCGGTTGAAAAACGGTGGTAAATCCACCTTAAAATGTGGTAACCACATCTCACATCTAGGTGATAATTTTACCTTTATTATTTGTAACTTAACCTTAAATAGTTATAACTTCACAATCAAAGGTAGTAACCTAACATTAAATAGTTATAACCTTACTTTTAAAGATAATAATTTTACTTTTAATTGTTGTAATCTCCCTTTCAAAGTAGTAACCTTACATTTAATAGTCATGATCGATCATGATTAATTAAGATCGATCCCAATGCCAATTTTGGTTTTTTTTGCTATTCAACTCAATTATGATCTATCATGATTAATTAAGATCGATATCAAAGCCAAATTATTAGTATTTTTTTTTTTTTGCGATTCCACTCAATTAAGATCTATCATGATTATTTAGGATCTATCCCAATGCCAATTTTTTTTTTTGCTATTCCACTCAATTAAGATCTATCATGATTATCTAGGATCTATCCCAATGCCAAATTATTATTATTTTTTTTTTTGCGGGTCCAGTCAATTAAGATTGATCCCAATGCCAAATTATTATTTTTTACATTAAATTGACATGTAATTTTATGAAATTTTAGGTTAATTTTATGAATTTTAAATTTATAATTTTGAATGTTAATTTAATATAATTGAACGTCAATTTAATTTAATTTTTAATGAATTGAGTGTTAGTTGGATAAAATAAAAAAAAAAATAACATTAATTTTTAAATTCATAAATTAAAATTAATTTAAAATTCATAAAATTAACATTAATTTTATGAAATTAATTTTTAATTTTATCCAAATTAACATTCAAAATTATAAATTTAAAATTCATAAAATTAACATTAATTCATAAAATGTTAATTAATTTTATGAAATTACATGTCAATTTAAAATAACATTAACTTTAAATTAACATAAAATTAAATTAATTTTTAAAAGTTAATTTTATTTTTATTTTATTCACTAACACTCAATTTATCAAAAATAACATTCAATTAATATTCAATTGTATTAAATTAACATTCAAAATTATAATTTGGTAGTGGGATAGATTCTAGATAATCATGATAGATCTTAATTGAGTGGAATAGCAAAAAAAAAAAAAAAATTGGCATTGGGATAGATCCTAAATAATCATGATAAATCTTAATTGAGTGGAATCCCCCAAAAAAAAAATACTAATAATTTGGCTTTAGGATCAATCTTAATTAATCATGATAGATCTTAATTGAGTTGAATAGCAAAAAAAAAAAAAAAAATTGGCATGGGGATCGATCTTAATTAATCATGATCGATCATGACTATTAAATGTAAAATTACTACTTTGAAAGTGAGGTTATAATAATAAAAAGTAAAATTATTATCTTTAAAAGTAAGGTTATAACTATTTAAGGTT